ACACTGGTGCCTGAATCCTCAGCTTCCTCTTCCTGCCCCCTCGTACTGTGTGTGACCCTGTTCTCTCCTTTTTTTTTGTTTTCAGACCCCTTTCTCCCTACACAGCTCTCAAGGATTTAGCTGTGATTCCTCTGACCCAAACAGCCATTGCTCACCCACCTCCGTATCTGCCATTTACACAGACAAAAGGTTCAGCACTCCAACAGCCCCCACCTGGTCCCAAGGCCCAGGCTGTCAGGTCTGACCGTCCCCACAGTAACCAGGCTCTGCTGCCGTCAATGGAGAAGAGGGGGCGGGAAACAGTGGTGACGTCAAAGCGGAGGAAGGAGGCGGGGCGAGGCAGCTGGGGAATGTGGGGCAGGGAGGTTGGCGAGGCAGCGGTTTGGGAGGCAGCCAGCCCCAGAGGGCGGCGGCCAGCGCACTAGGGAACATCGTGTTCTCTTGGCTGGTGGCCCAGGACATGCACTCAGACTTGGCGCCTCCCCCAACCCAACGACAGCCGTCCTGTACAAAAGCCAGGGATTCCTGGAGAGACGGTTAGGAGGAAGGGGTCCCCCTTCCCTACCCCCATGCCTGGCTCTCTTTTCGGGACTTGGCGTTTGTGGGTCCCCAGCTGGTTCTTACTGTTCCTGGCATTGGCTTTACCCTTTCATCAAACTGTACACAGCTGCTGGCCAGGTACCAAAGAGCCACTGCGGGTAAATTGGAGGCCAGGTTCAGAGAGGGAACGCGCACCTTTGCTCCTTCCCAGAGGCCCCTTCAGAGGCAGAATTTCTAGTTACTATTACAGCACAAAATATTTGGGAGGGGAGATCGGGGAGAATGCATTTAGAATAAGGAAGTCAAACTGGGACAGAGCAAGTAGCCTCAGTCTGGAGCCCAGATCTTGGGAGAGGAATACAGGGTAGGAATGATGGAATTTGGGTTGGTGCCTATAAACCAGAAAAATCAGAAAGAAGAAAAAGAGGAGTCATCAAAACTGGAAGAAAAACAGAAGATGAGGGTCGTTCCAACACAGTATTCACATAAATCCCTAGCTCTGTCACTACTGGTTTGTTACCTAATAGTTTGTGTTTTAAATGGTCCAATCGTGTCCTTCGTATTTTATGTATACTGTTCTTTTCTAAGTCCCAAAACAACTGAAGGTAGCTATCACCCTCATTTCATGAGGGATAGCTAAGATTTAGTAGTCACTAAACTTGCCTTGTCTGCTTCATAAACATGTTTTCAACTTCCTAATAATGGAGCCCAAGGTTCAGGCTCTGATGATGGCTTGTCCTGGCTTCTTACCCTCAGGAAGCCTGTGAAGTGTTACCAAACCTCTACTCTGCATTCTAGCACTGTCAAACCAGGTCTTCGAACATACTTCCCTAGTTCTAAGTTTGGTGCTTAGAATACAAGCTGCATCCAATTCCTTCTTCCTTTCTGCCTTATCTAAAGGCATTGTCTGTACTCCACACACACCACCACGGTTCATTTTTTACTACACTCAAAGGCCTTGAGATGATCCGAAAAGTCTCCAGCCACAATGCTTTCCTAGGAACCTCCCTTCCTCCCTCTCCCACCTCAACCAGGCCTGACTGTCTAGACACCAGAGAAGTCTTTTGGTGCCTCCTCACCTCTAGCAAGTCGAGAAGAAGAGTGGGCAAGCTGGTATATAGAAACCCTCTACCTTATCCTCCCTTTCAGAATCCAACAAATCGCTAGCCCATTTCTGGTTACAAGCTTGTACCTAAAACCCCAACACTATCCTTTCCACGTGAAAAAGTAACCCATGGTGGTGATGAGACAGCCTCCGAGTCACACAAATCAGTATACCAACCTTTCTCAGATTACCATCCCACATTCCCACTTGGCCTACCAGGGCCTTTCTGCAGGCTCATACTCTGCCTCTTCCAAGTGTTTGGGGAGCCTACCCAAACCTGATCCAGCTCTCAGGCGTCCTATCGCAGGCCCTTCAGCTCCCTCGGGAGGCTAAGGGCTTCTGAGCACTGTGCCAGGCAATGGGGTCTGGGGACCCTAGAGAGGTGAGAAATTATGCTAGTAACCCCCACCCATGTTCCCCTAGAGCTGAGTTTGCATTCTACAACCATCAAGCACGCCTATTGCAGCCATCGCGCATTTGCATGAACCCACATACACACACACCCCACGCCACTGACCCCCCTTGTGACTGAGCACTCCTCCCGGGAAAAACCCATTTCGACCGCCCCAGAGTAGGGGGCTACTCACAGTTCCGATCGCATGCAGAATCCAAATTTCTTCGCTACTGGGGACGTTGAGTAGCTACTCCACAGGCTCCTCCAGGCCCGCCCACTGCCCATTCTGTCACGCCTCCCAAGCTTATTGGCTTAGAGGCGCCAACCCATGCCCCGCGCCGCGTGCAGCCAACAAGCCCCTGCAAAGCCACCATTGGCACTTCAGGGCGCAGTCACCTTCCCATTGGGCAACAAGACAACCGGTAGTGATAGAGCCACGTGAGGGAGGGGGCGCCCCAGCGCGTTGATTGGACATCTGACCGGAAGCCACACCTCTCGCCCACTCCCAAAGCTTTTATTGGCTGTGGAAACAGCCCCGCCATGCCTAAATCGGTGACGCAAATGCCAGCCCTGCCCTAAAAACTTTCTCATAGGCTGAGAGGTCTTGGAGATGTAGGGAACACGTGCGGGCCGGCTCACGCGGCAACTTGTTTACCGAGAAGCTGGGGATTTTCCTTGACGACACTTACCCAAGACTGTGTGGAGTCTGCGCAAGCGTACCGAGCGGCTTGTACGCAGGCGTAGATGTGACAGGCTATGGCGTAGTGGGGATACTTAGTAAAAAGACCCTGACATGACAAGAGGCTCCTGGTGCCCGAGTTTTGTGTCTCCGATTATCCCCAAAGCTTAAGTCTGAGCATTTGAAAGAAGAGGTCTTTAGATTGCATGACAATGATAGTGAAAATGACAGTCGCCTGTTTTCTGTACCAGACGCTTCTTGTAGACTCCGGCACACCACCCATAACCTCACAGAGACTGAGATGCAGGGGTTACATAATCTGTCAGAATTCCCAAGTTAACATGTTGATTAAAAAGCTCTGACACCGTGAAGGTGGGTCGGTTGCCTTTGGGCCAATGGAAACCTTAAGCCTATAAGTAATTTCAGGAATTAAATGCAAAAAGACTAATGTATTTAAACTCTCCCGTAAACGTAGAAGTTAGGATAAAGTATTGGTAAATACAAGACACCTGGGCACCTTAGAACCTCTAAAATAATGTCCAATGAAAGGGCCTGAAAAACCTATTTTTTTTTAGTTTGTTTTGTTTTGTTTTTCGAGACAGGGTTTCTCTGTATTGTTTTGGAGACTGTCCTGAACTAGCTCTCTAGACCAGGCTGGCCTCGAACTCACAGAGATCCGCCTGCCTCTGCCTCCCAAGTGCTGGGATTAAAGGCGTGCGCCACCAACGCCCGGCTTGAAAAACCTATTTTTAAAAGTATCTCTAGCCGGGCGGTGGTGGCGCACGCCTTTAATCCCAGCACTCAGGAGGCAGAGGCAGACGGATCGCTGTGAGTTCGAGGCTGGGGCTGGACCGACAGCCTCGAAAACAATACAGAGAAACCCTGTCTCGTAAAAACCAAAAAAATGAAAAAAATAAAAGTATCTCTAAACTGGGCAGTGGTGGCACACTCATTTAATCTCAGCACTTGGGAGGCAGAGGCAGGCGAATCTCTGAGTTTAAGGCCAGCCTGGTCTACTGAGTAGAGTTGCAGGACAGCTAGGGGCTCCACAGAGAAACCCTGTCTTGAAAAACCAATTTTTAAAAAAAGTACTTCTTATAGTTCTTATTTCTTGGTCAGGTATGTTATAGCACATGCCTTTAATCGCAGCACAAGGGAGGCAGAGAGGCACTCAAAAACGAGGGCAGCCAGGTCTAATAGTGAGTTCCAGGACAGTCAGAGCTTCATAGTGAGACCATGCCTCACCACCAAAAAAAAAGTTATTTTGTTTTAGACAGTCTCATTATGTAGATCGGCCTGCCTCTGCCTCCTACACGATCGCCTGCACCACACCTGGCCTTCCAGCGGTTCTTAGCCATTCAATTCTCCCTCTAGGTCCAACTGCCGTGGAGCGGCAAGGGTCACCGTCACCCACCACACACACCGGCAGTGACTAGTCCCTCATACCCTGAATACAGAGGGTAACCAGAAACACTACCTCTTCCTATACTGCTATATCTCAGTGATGCCCCTGAAGTGAATACATGGAGACAATGCTTTGAGAGTTCAAGAGAGAGCCGGGCGTTGGTGGCGCATGCCTTTAATCCCAGCATTTGGGAGGCAGAGGCAGGCGGATCTCTGTGAGTTCCAGGACAGCCTCCAAAACAATACAGAGAAACCCTGTCTCGAAAAACCAAAAAAAAAAATAAAAGTATCTCTAAACTGGGCAGTGGTGGCACACTCATTTAATCTCAGCACTTGGGAGGCAGAGTTCAAGAGAGAGAGGCTAAAGTAACCATCCCAAGGCAGAGTGCAGTCCATCTACAGCCAGTTTTATGCCACAGCTGGCTTTGTCTCATCAGAGCGATCCTTCTACACACTCAGCCCATCTGAATGTCTGGCTGACACTGTGCCCCAGAGAGGAAGAAATGCCCCCACAGAAACAGCCCAGGAGTGGATGGCTATGGAAGAGCCTAAGTGGTCGCCAGAATAAATTTTAAGAGACAGAGGAATTCAATGGTAGCAGCATACTCCAGACAGGGGAGTGGGGAGCCGGGAACCCAGGGCTGTAGAGTTCACCTGGCTTAGACCCCAGGTTTTTTAGTGATACTTTCGATTGTCTCCCGGTGCCCCACATGGCCACTTTGGGAATTACACTTTGCAAGGGCCCAATTGGGGTTAGGGCGTGCAGCAACAGGCCAACTCCTCCCAGTGAATCTTTTCAACCACCCCACTGTAACTGAAGACCCAATACTAACTAATACTAACTCCTGGTTAAGAAAGAGCTTGTAGACACCACCTGGTTACTCATTACACGTTTATTGTACATTTTCACAATCTGGATGCGCCACAGATTTGGGGGCATGGGGTAGGGGAAGAAGGAAGGCAGGGGACACTGGGATAATATTGGGGGTCTAGAACACAAGCACCCCCACCCCCAGCATCTCTCCTACCCTTTCACACCACAGTTTAGATCTCCTTGGTTCCCCTCCACACAGAAAACCTGGTGGGGGGGGAGAGTTTGGGGACACCCCCACCCCAGTGGCAGGTTAAGGGGCTGTACCCTCAGACCCCTAAAACTGTGCCATTTAAAAAGATTAGATCCTTTCTCTATCATTTCACCCAAAAGGGAATAGCTTGCACTCTCTCTCTTTCTCTCTCCCCCTCTCGCTCTGGGCTCAAGAGCCCTGGAGAAAGGCGAGGATCCCCATCATCCAGCAAGTCCCATACACATATTGGCAGTGACTAATACCCCCACCCTGAATACAGGGGGGCAGTCAAAGGAGCTGGGCAGTGATGGGGGCAACACCCCCCCCAGATTGGGGGAAAAAGTTTTCAGTCCAACCTCTGGCAAGATGAGGCCAGAGGCTTCAGGCAGGGATTGGGGGATTCTATTTTGCCCTACTCCTCCCCAAGGCAGTGATGACACACACACACTGGAGCCACCCCTCCTCAAAAAATCAGATTGTGGTCAACCCCCAATTCTCCTGGTAGGAGGAGGAGGCAAATCAGGCAGATGGGAGGGAGACCCCCTGGGAATGTCTGTTGAGTGCCCCACATGAAAACTGGGGAGCAGGAATGTGGGGAGAGACTCCGAGTGGCAGAATTATTGGTCCATCACGACACACTGAACTCCAAGACACTTACACACCAGCTGGGGGGGAGGGAGAGGAGGGTACAAGAGGTTTGGAAAATGGGGTAAAGGAGGTAAACTAGACTAGAGGGGCTGGGAGTGGGCAATTCTGGGGCCCAGAGCAGCCTAGGTCCCCAAAAGCCCAGGCTCCCCACCACCTGCAGGTAATGTCGTGCAAATGAAGTGTGATAAGAGGACCAATGGAGACGAACTCTTCAGAAAAGAAAGAAAAAACAGACAGGAGTGGTGGAACAAAAAGGAAGGAAACTAAAGGCTACTATGCAAATGATACGCTAATTCATATATTGGAAGCTCCCAGAAAACCTTGGGATTCTTAGGACCAAGTGGGACCAGTCTCAGAGCTTTCCAAGGGATACAAAGATGCAACCTAGGGAAGCCTGGACAGGTAGGAGTGCTTGTTTGTTTGTTTCTGTGGAGTTTGTTTTCTGTCTTGGGAGGGTCAGGAATTGTACAGGGAAGCTAGGGGAAGGGTCAGTTAAATTCAAGGAAAAAAAGGGGCTATTGCATAGCAGATGCAAATGAAGGAACTTGGAGCTATCAGGAAAAGAGGAAAAGGGACAGAGGATGAGAGAGAGGTGAGGGGAACCTAAGGAAGGGGTGTTAAGGACAACCGGAAAAAATCTTCTAGTAATAAAACTACAAACAGACCAAATATATATAATATTATATATGTATAAATAACAGCTGGCTATTTACAGGGGGCACACACACGGACACACACACACACACACACACACACACGGATCCAAGGGAGAGGGGCTGAAAGATATGGCTGAGAGGTGGAGGAACGGCTGGGGATGGGAGAGAGGCCCTTCTTAGGCAGGGCAGACTCCTCGGGGATTTAAGTGCTGAAGTAAACTGTGGAGAGAGGGTAGAGGAGGACGAGGGAGGGGGTAGAAAGAGAAAGAAAGCAGTGTGTCAGGCCTGGCCCTGTTCCAAACCTCCCCACTCCCCCACTGTCTGATAACCCTTCCCTCTGTCTCATTTCTTCATCTATCTAGCAAAGTGACTTGATAAGTAGGCACTAAGAGCCTGTAAACTCCATGATAGGACAAAGGGGCACAGAACCTTTAACCCACTGGGCATGTGACTACAAATGCTCAGCTAGTGGAGTAGCTGTTTTCATGATCATGTCCGAGCCCCTCAACCCCTACTGTCTCCTACTCCCCAGTTCTAGGAACCCAGATTGGGCTCTTAGGCCCAAAGGTTTCTTCTTAATGGAGTGCCAGGGACCCACCCAGTATTCCTATTTTCAAAATCTTAACAGAAATTACCCAGAACCAGGCAAAGCAAGGCTATACAAGAGCGAAGTTTCTTGGCTCTCGATGAATCAGAATTGCCAATAGCAGCAAAATGTGTTTTTGTTGAAGAGTAAAAACTAGGTTAATGACCTTCAAAACCCAGAATCCACAGGGAAAGCCTCTATCTCTCCAGGGAAAGGGCCCTGGCCACTCCTGCCCCACTCACCGATGATGATGATGAGGATGATGGCGCAAATCACTCCCAAGATTATCATCATCTAGGAGTGAGAGGGAGGGTCGATGAGACCAACTGTGACACACCAGTCACCCACTGGCCCTCCTGCCTGTCCCCATCTCTTTCCCCCTTACCTTGAGGTTTTTCCACCAGTATTTGCGCTTGAGCTTGGCTGCACTTGTTTCAAACTGGGAGGCCCCTGCCTGGAGGGCATCTGCACGATCATCCAGCTCGGAGAGCTTCTGGTCCCGCTCCAGGACCTTGTCCACATTCACCCTCATGATGTCCACCACCTGGGGGAGGGGCCCACGAGGCAGGGGGTGTGCCAAGGCACGCCTCAAGGAGGGCACTTCTTGAACATGTGCCCATGTGCCTCACATGGAACATGCACCCCGATGTTTCCAGGCTAACATGCCAAGGACATACACAGAACATGCCTAGCACACCTGGGGACATGCAAGGAGCACACATCAGAGGCATGCTGCAGCCATACACCTCAGATACCACAGCAACACCCTGATCTACGACCAGAGCACACCTGCCCCAGCTGGCACACCCCAAGCTAGCACAACTGATTATCACCCCATAGCCCTTCCAAGTGCATGCCTACAGGGAAACAAAGATGGGACACGGCAGGCCTCTGACCCAAAACCCACAAGGGTAAACTGTCATCACCTTCAAGTCAAAACGGGCTCCCACACCTATTTGCCAACCCCATCTTGCACCTTTGACACACACACACACACTCACCTCATCCACCTGGGCCTGGGTCTGCTGCAGTCTCCTATTACTGGTAAGATTTGGAGGGGGTGCAGGGGGGCCACCCTCGCCGGCCGGGGCGGCAGGCGGGACGGTGGCAGCGGTAGCCGACCTAAGGAGGAGAAACGGATTAAGATTCAGGGCTTGAAGCTTCGGGCCCTGCGGCCGGGGCTCCACCCATCCACCTGTCCATATATAGTCCAGTCCTCCCTTACGGGAGGAAAGCTACCCGATGGGAAACCCAGTCACTCTACGGCCCCGCTGCGGTTGAGCTGCGTGACCTTGAGAGACCCTCCTTATGCCTCAATTTCCCCGCCTGTTAAAAGAAAGCGACCTCAGAGACGCTGCCCGGGGTCGACCCGAAATGACTGACAGCCATGGTGGCTGGGGCGGGGCGGGTAGACGCTGGGTCGGCTCCCTCCGGCGGCCATCACCCGTGCCAGACCGCCCGGGACCGGTTCCGGGCGTCCTAGCGCAGTCACGGACACCAGCCTGGTCCGCGGCACGAGAGGCGCGGGCGGGACCCCCGTGTTTCCCGGCCCACTCCTCGGGGTGGCGGCCCGCGCGGGGCAGAACGTAGCGGGTGGCGAGTGGCGGGCGGCCGACTTACATGGCGGGGGCAGCGGGCAGAGGACTTGGCAGAGGCAGTGATGGCGGCGGCGGCGGCGGCGGCGGCGGCGGCGGCGGCGGCTCGCACTGGCTCCGACTGGCGCTGGCTGCCCGGGACTGGAAGATGGCGGCCGCACGTCACCCGCATCCGGGCACTGCGGCGGGGGCGGGGCGCGGCAGGCGACTCTTCGCTAGCGGACCGCGGGGGCGGGGCGCTGCAGGGCCTGGGGTCGTCTAGTTGGGTCTGTGGACCCTACGTTGTGGGCCTGGCTTACAAGCCCACCGCCGCCCCCAAGGCATCTGCCACCTGCCTCTTTTGGTACCCACAACGAGACCCACACCTCACCCCTAAACTACATCCTCCCTCATCCTTGGAGCTGACACACTGGCCCTTACCTCATACAGCCTAAAGTCTCACTCTACAACCTGGACCCAACACCTGGTGACCCGCCCTTAGGTCCTGGAAAGGGCAGATTTCCCTTCGGGTGGAAAATGAGAAGCGACAAAGGCAGGTACCAGGGCGATACTGATAACTGGAATCCTAACGCTGGGGTCGGGGAATTGTGAGAACTGACCTCACCCTTCACCCTGCTACTGAATGTCCAAGGGAGGTCTCGGGCCTCTGATTTCCTAGCAGGGTCTGAGCAAAAGGAGTAACAGAAGACCCCCGCCCCCACACGTGCACAAACACACACACTAAGAGCTGTGAAAGCTGCCCCTCCACACAGATAAAGTTCAGACCAGGTGTGCTTGGAGCGGGCCCCACAAAGATTAGACAACTAAAGACTCTAGGAAGGGCAAAGGCTGCCTGGAGGTGCTGTGTCACGTGGTGATGCAGGCTGGTCCCCTCCTGGGGTCAGCTGTGCACCTCAGCTTTGATCCTAGCGTAGGGCCTGGGTCGGAAAAAGGACAATGGGCGAGAGTGGCACCTGTGGTGCTTATGTTGCTGTAGGCACTGCTTACGTGCAGATTAGTGGCACAGACATGACCTTGACAGCATCAGCTGGGCCCTAAATACATCACACATGTAGACACTCAATAAATATTTGCTCAATGGTTTGATGTAGATAATACAGTAGGAGATTATCTTAGACCTGGTCCATCCCCGACTGCTCCATTTTAAGTACACTAAACAACCACAGCAGCTGTACACACTCCCACCCGGCATCTAGAGACAGGACCAGGGAGCCAGCTGTCGATTTAGCAGGCCTCCAGGGTGAAGGAGGCATTTTAGGGGAGGACTAGTGACTCTGAAGTGGGAGTACTTATTACATCCCCCAAAGAGCCTTAATCTCAAAGACAGATAGGGTCTGGCTTCCATCCTCCCACTCCAGGCCTACAAGGTGTGAGATCCTCCTGTGCTGCAGTGCCCCACCCCCTCCCAGCAGCCGCCCCAGGACCGGTTGTGTCGTGAGAGGTGTTATTTCCCAGCTGTCTGGGGGAGGTGAATGAGCAGGAGTGTGTGCTGGGTGCAGGATTCGCTCTTGGCTGCCTCCCTCTCCCAGGAGAAGCCATGCGCCTGATCTTCGTGAGGCTGAGCTCGTGAGAAGAGCGGCTTCGGTAGGGGTCTCAGATCAGCCGCGAGGCTCTAGTTTTCTGTCCCTGAAACCCCTTTACTTTCTAATCAGAGAACAAAGATGCCAAATTCCGTAATTTCAAGTTTAAATGCTTTAATGTCTGGATAGGAAACATCCTCGAGAGTGGGAAAACTGTAAGCGGAGCCCCCCACACAGCCCAGCTCTGCACCGTCTGGAAAGGAAACAGTAAGATCTCAGATCCTGGTTTAGGTATGATACCCATGTTGCCTAGCCAACCGCAAAGGGCAGAGGATATGGAAGAGACAAGAGTCACAGACAAATTTGGGGAGGTTAGGCCTCGGCATATCCCTGGGATAGTTGTGCTTCCCAGGGGATGCTGGGTCAGCAACAGCAGAGTAACAGTGGAATGGGGCCCAGTAGGACTCATCTTAGATAGAGAACTGTCACTGCACAGCCCAGCCCAGCCCAGTCCACCTCAGCTGCGCTGAAGAAATTCTAAATTTAGATCAATGCTAGGGGTGGGAGAAGGTGGGAATGTGTAGAGAATGTTTTCTGCAAACAGTGCGACTGAGACTCAGACTCAGCTGAAGCACAGGCAGTATTTGGGTAATAGAGATGCTGTCTACATTTGCCTGCTTCAGGGGATTGATGGTTTAATTGCTAGGTCCAGTTCCTGAAGCTCCTTTTAGGCTTAATGGTACATGTTCATAATCCCTGAACTTGGAAGATAAAGGCAGGAGATTCTGGAGTTTAAGATAAGTTTACCAAATGAAATACTGTCTCAAAACAAGCCAAAGACTGGGACTTGGAGAGATGATGGTTCAGTGGCTAAGAATATTTACTGTTGCCAGGTGCTTGTGGAGTACACCTTTAATCCCAGTACTTGAGAGGCAGAAGCAGGTGGATCTCCCTGAGTTTGAGACCAGCCTGGTCTACAGAGCTAGTTCCAGGACAGCCTCCAACGCCACAGGGAAACCCTGTCTCAAAAAAACAAAACAAAAGAATATTTACTGCTGTTCCAGAAAACCCTGGTCTAGCTTCCAGCACCCACATGGCAGCTCACAGCCATCTGCAACTCCAGTCCTAGGGGATCTCACCACCTCCGGTCCCTCTGGCCTCCAAAGGTACTGAATTCCACTGTACACAGGCATATTGCATACATAAAAGTAGATAATTTTTTTAAAAGAGTTAACAACAAACCCCTCAAAAATAAGAAAAAAATTAAAAAATACATAAGAGAGAGGGATCCCAAGGTTTTTCTGTTGTTTTGTATTGGGGGTTTTGGTTTTGCTGTTGTTGTTTGGTTTTTTTGAAACAAGGTTTCTCTGTGTAACAGCTCTGGTTGTCCTGGAACTTACTCTGTAGACTAGGCTGGGCAAAGAGCCTCCTGCCTCTGCTTCCCAAGTGCTGGGATTAAAGACGTGTGCCACCACAGCCTGGCCCAAGGTTTACTCCTAAGAAGCTCCTTCAGGGTTCTGATGTAGATGATACAGAGGTCAGACTTTAATAAAATCTTGTTTTCCTCTTCACAGCGTTTAAGTTGGGGCTGAAGGGGGCTGGATCATTCCCACACTGACTCATGACCTCCTTCCATCCTCATGAGTCAAACCTTGAGAAACCAGTAATTAATTTCTGGGACCTTGTTTGTGCCCTCAATACAGCTCTCATCAACTGTTAGATTGTTTCCAATGTCTTAGAGCAATGCTTTGATGGGGTCTTTTTTGATTTGGTTTGGTTTCATGTTAACGTTTTTCACAGACGGGAAGGTTTGATCCTGCTTATGTTTGCAGTGTTGGGGGTTGAAATCAGGGTCTTGTGCATTTTAAACAAACGCTCTACTATAAAGTGTTGTCTCGCAGCAGCCCTGGTGGCATCCCCTTGGCAAGTCTTCTTGTAGTGAAGGGTGACACACACAGAAAGATCATACCTGGTGGCTGGAGAAGTGGCGCTTGCTGTTCCTCTGTTCCCAGCAACCACACTAGGTGGATCACAACCTGCAACTACAGCTCCAGGGGGCCGGAAGCCCTCTTCTAGAAGATATTCCCACACAAATAAATAATAAGAGTGTTATCTTGGGTTTTTTCTTTGTTTTTTTTTTCTTTCTGTTGTTGTTGTTTTTGGTTTTTGAAATAGGGTTTCTCTATATAACAGCCCTGGCTGTCTTGGAACTTGCTTATATCGGCCAGGCTGGCCTTGAACTCACAGAGATCTGCTTGCCTCAGCCTTCTGAGTCCTGGGGTTAAAGGTGTATGATAGCACTCCCAGTTTTCTTGTTTGTTTTAAAAATTACACTATTTATTGGGGAATCACATGTGGTCATCAAAGGACAACTTGTAGTCTTTTCTTTCCTTCCACCATGTTCTGTGACTGAACCAGGTCATCAAGCTTGGCAGCAGGTCCTGGTGAATCATGTCACTGGACCCATTTCTTTGTTGAGATCCGGTCTCACTGTATAGGTCAGGGTGGTCTACTGAATTTTGGAATTACAAGCCTATGTCATGGCACCTAGTTGTTTTAAATGATATCTGTTTCATCTACCCAAATACAAAGTGCCATGTCAGGAATGAGGCAAACAATTGAATAAAGAATGATTAGAACAGTGGTCCTCAGCCGGGCGTTGGTGGCACACGCCTTTAATCCCAGTACTCGGGAGGCAGAGGCGAGAGGAATCTCTGTGAGTTCGACACCAGCCTGGTCTACAAAGAGCTAGTTCCAGGACAGCCTCCAAAGCCACAGAGAAACCTGTCTCGAAAAAAAAAAAAACAAAAAAAAGAAAGAAAGAAAAAGAAATCTTTCCATCCCATCCTGATGCAAGCAATCCATATAGACTGTTTTGCTCTGCACTTTGTTTGTCCATTTAACATAATTGGAGATTTTCTGCTATATGTGGGGTACAATATTCACATTTTTTATGATTGTGTAGAAACCTGCTGTATGGCTATAACATGATTAGTCATTTTAGGTCATTGTTAACCTTTGGCCAACCTAAGCAAAGCTACAAAGAATATTCTACACATTCTGATTTTACCTATATGCAAATATGTAGTGTAAATTTCTAAATATGAAAACTCCAGCTCAAAGACAGACACAGGAGAACACACTTAATCCCAGCTTTCTGGGGGCAGAGGCAGGTGGATCTCTGTTTGAGGCCAACCCCGTTTATAGGACAACCAGGGATACACAGAGAAACCCTGTCTGAGAAGACCAGAAAGAAAAGAAAGGAAAGAAAAAAGGAAATCAAACCATAGATGGAGCTGGACCTGGTGTGAGACCTAATCCAGGTACTCAGGAGGGTGAGGCAGAAGAATCACAAGCGTCAGGCCTGTCTAGACTACAGAGTAAATTAAGGTCAGCCTGGGAAACCCAACATATCAAACTGAAAAAAGTAAAGAAATGGAAATCCAGCAATATAATTCATCAGTAAGAGTTCCGGGCGGTGGTGGCGCACGCCTTTAATCCCAGCACTCGGGAGGCAGAGGCAGGCGGATCTCTGTGAGTTCGAGGCTGGGCTGGACCGACAGCCTCCAAAACAATACAGAGAAACCCTGTCTCATAAAAACCAAAACCAAAAACAAACAAACAAACAAAAAACAAAAGAGTTCCTGCCTAGCACC